CATGCACTTTTCCTTTATTGATAGCAACTCGCCGGAACAGCTGGACGATACAGAACTCCCTGACCGAAATATCATGCAAAGACATCTACATGTGATACACCTTCAAAACTTTGCGATTCTTAATAGGTATTCATGTGTACGGAGGCACAGAGATGCAGCACTTCTGCTTGCTAAAGCAGCTTTGATCATGCCACGAGACCGACTTGCATTCGACAAGTTGTGCCTTTTTCTGCATTGCTGCATTTTCGTAAAAATTTCAATGTGTTCTCAAAGGCAACTACAACCATTTACACAAGGTTTTGAAAAACTTCATCGAATGATGGTAAACGAGCAAAAAACATGTCTTGAGCATGCTGCCGCCCAGCCTCTGCAAAGCTCCAAAAGGTTGACTTCGGTACATGCAACATGGCCGTTCGGTGGCAGCACTTGCTCTGCAGCAACCAAGTGGGGATCTGCGATCCAGCAAATTGTCACTGAAATAAGTGATCAATACCAACTTCATTAATTGCAGTAGGTTTCGCCGAAATCTTGTTCTGCCTAAAGAAGAGGAATAGACCCTTTGCATAAGTCCTAAAAAGGCCGTGCGTGCTGCATGAGCAATTTTCGGAGTCCTCGGTACGCCCCACCCATCGTCTTTTCTCCTGCTACCACGCGACACACGCGATCAGGCGCAGGTTACAAAGGCAACAACGCTGAAGCGACGGAGTCGAACCGCCAGACGAGTAACAATCGCACGGAAATGAGGGAGAGGGTGTCGCATTGGCCAGACTGTGAGGCTGCCCCTTTCTCATCCTCTCCTTTGCACCAGCTCCGTCGTCTGCTAGACCAATGCTTTGTCAAACCTAGTCAAATCCTGCCACGGCTGCGGTGCAAAATAAGTAGATTCGGTGACACTGCGAGACATGAAGGTCTGTCAAAGTCTGCCCAACGGCACAACTCAGACAAGAGTCAACCCAGGTACCACAAGGAGCACAAATACGGCACACTGCCAACGATGTTTCGGCAGATGGTCAGGATGGCGGATGGCTGCGCCGGCTGCTGCTGATGGTAGCTGCTGCAACTCATGCACAGTCGCGGAGATGGAACGAGAAAGTGCGTGATCAATACCAAGGGTTCCCAAAATCCCCTGCCGTCGCGGAAGTGTATGTATTGCAAAATGTTTATTGGAACTGTCTGCAATGACCTCTACTGTCCTTGCCATAGATGCAACCTGTGACAATAACAATGTTAGACGAGAACGGAACACTTTCACACACTGCATTCTGAGCACAGTACAGGACATTTTGACGTCATGCAGTTGATACTCAGCAGCAAAACGGCTGTAATAAAAGCAAGCAGAACATACTGAACATTATGACCTCCATTGAGCTACAAGCAAGTTCTACGTACACAGCTGTAGTTCTAACGTGACAGAGACACACAGTAGCAGCAGCATGGAATCACCTTGGCTTTGGGCCCAGGCTTGTTTGAGCACCTTGCAGCTTCATCATATGGGAAATGCCTTGCTCACTTGTGTGCAAGAGCTGGACAAAGTGCAAGATAAACTGCAGGCGTTTCTCGATGGAACAAAAATTCCTTTAAGCCTACATCATGTACCCTGTTGATTGGTTAGCAATAGTTCGATAATTGACGAAGTAAAGCAGCTCACATAGTGAAATGAATGAATGGATAAATAAAATGTGCACGGCATATGTACAAATAGTGACTTCTGGAGACACTACACAACAAAATTGTAGTGCAAAAGCAAAACATGGTTTCCGAAAGAGCCTACATAAAGTATTTGGTCATTTGCACAAAACATACTAGTCAGATGAATATGCAGGAAACGTAGAACAAGTAACCAGAGGACTCAGTATGAATCAAATAAGTGACAAATGTTTTAAAAGAGGGATCATATTTCAGCGTCATTTAATGTTGTTTGAAACGGACATTACAGATGGGTGGTGCCAACTGCAATGTACTAGTTCCAACAAAGAAACTAATTTGAAGAAATTACAAAAATGGTAACACGTTTGTGCGAATGATCTATAAATTATAACCCCTCGGCAAACTTTTGTGTAGGGTGAACATATAACCTAAGGGCCCCGCGTGCCGGATGGTCTAGCTAAGGCACTGAGCAGACGTACGAGAGTTATGGTGTTCTTCGCTGTACAGTTACCTCTTTATTTGTTTCAGTTTGATGGTGTCAAGAAACTACCACTCTGTACAAGGCACTTAGTTCACTACTAAACATTCTCGCGAAATTCGCATCTCATTGTCACGAGCCGTCTGCGGCGTGCCGAAGCCAGGCATTCCGAGGATTCACACAGAACCCTGAAATGTGTAGCAGCTAGAAGCTTTCATAGGTCTCGTCACGGTGGCATTGAACCACAATAGAGCAAACTACATAATGTCTGGAATGTCCAAGTTTCGCATCGACGCACATCTTCAACTTCTTTCACTAGCCACTAAAGGCCGCCATTAGAATGTACAGATGATGTACACTTAGATGATAGTTAGTGGCTAGACTGGATTTCGGAAAGGATTTGTAATGACCCAAGCACCAGGCAGACGAGAGCCCCAAACGTCGGCTACCTAGCGTGCTTTGCCTTGATGTGCTGCGCCATCGCCGACTTGGAGATGAACGCACGGACGCAGTGGTCACACCTGTACGGACGCTCGTCCGTGTGAGTCCGTGAGTGGTCCAACAGGTGGTGCTTGCGGGCAAAGGAGAGCGAGCACATGTTGCACTGGAACGGCTTCTCCCCGGTATGGATACGCATGTGGTCAGAGAGCGTCTGCTTGCGGATGAAGCCCCTGCCGCACACCTGGCACCGGTAAGGTTTCTCGCGCGTGTGGCAGCTAATCATGTGGTTCGTCAGGCTGCTCTTGCGCGCAAAGTCGGACGGACAGAGGTTGCACACAAACGGACGATGGCTGGTGTGCGTGGCCAGGTGCCTGTCAAGGCTGTGCCTGAAGGGGGTGGAGTACTTGCACAGCCGGCACCGGAGCATGCCACCCGCTGTGACTTCTGCGGGGCCCTCGGAAGACAACGAACGGACCCAGTCGCCCGCTGTCCCGGAAGAGAAGTGCAGTTGGATTAAGCACGAGTTACAAAAATGGTATGTCTGCTTACGGTAAAGCAGCGAGCATGCACCTCTGTTGTAAAAAGTGCCCACTCCCTACTCTTGACTGTCGCAGAAAGAAAGAAAACTGAGCCAAGGCACACAAGTTAAAAAGATAGCAGGTCTGCTTACCATATAACACTTAGAGCATGAGCCCATGCTACAATAAGTGCCCACCCCTACTTGTGACTGTCTCAGAAAAGTTTGTTAAGGCACACAAGGCTAGCATGTCTGCTTACTGTATAACATATAAATAGAACTCAGTGTTCTGATAAACCCGGAAAACTCGGAAAAACACTCTCCGGTCAAATTTTCGTCAATTTGGATTTATCCAAAAAACAATATCGAGGTCATGATGGCAAAACTAAAATAAAAGACGGTATTTTATGATGTAAGCTCTTATGGCACAGGGTTAGTTGATCCTAAGGAGTTGCCACATCAGTTGTTTTCTTCTTCCTCTTTTAATCTAGGATTATTAAAAAAAAGGGAGTTTCCTATTTATATCATCAGGGTTCGTTCAGTACAACTTATAATTACAACGGGTCACCAAACTACAGAACGAGGACAAAAGCACTGTCCTGATTACCACTTTGGGCAATACTAATGAGTTCCTTAGATAGAGGAGGAGCTGTGTTTTTATAAGAGGGAAAGATATGAAACCAGTAGACTTCACAAGAAGGGTAGAGCAGCTGAGGCATTTATGCTTCCCAACGACTATGTCCAGGAGATTAGCTATTTCAAAGTACCGACGTTTATTAAAGCAACACTCGTTTGCAAGATTTGTCGTGATGCAGTTAGTACTGCCAATCGCAAGGGTGCCAATGCCGAATGCAGCTGCAGAAATATCTTTCGATACCGGAGTGTTTTTCTAAATTTAAGGTATGTTTTTGTCCAAACGTTCATTTCTATAATGAATTTTGAAATACTGGGACACAATAAAAGTGAACTCCGAATTTCGAATAACTTGGAATATAATAAAAATAAACTCCGATAAACCCCAAATTCCCAGTAAAATAAACTCTGAAAACGTGGGACCCTACAGATAGAATGTGTGCCCCTGCTCCAATAAGTGCCCACCCCCACTTGTGACTGTCACAGAAATATTAGCCAAGGCGTCTACTTAGCATAACATATGGAGCATGTGCCCCTGCTGCAATAAGTGCCCACCCCCACTTCTGACTCTGTCTCAGAAAAGGTAAGCCAAGGCACGCAAGTTACAAGCATAGCACGTCTGCTCACTGTAAAATACCAAGCACTACGTGCTTACGCTTGTGCAAAGCGGTAAAGCTTGTATGACAGTGCCTGCACGAGGAGGGTTTGAAGAGAGCAGCACAGCCGCTCTAAAAATGAGAGGCTCCGACAGACCCCTGCATCGCTCCTATACCATTCTGCCAGAACGAACGAGGACCAAGCCTCTTCTGCTTTTTTGCCCTCAGATCTAAGAAGTGCACATCTCCACTTCTTTTTGTGACTATCTCCAACACTCCAGTGGGACAGGTAACAGCTATTGGAGAGTGTCACCAAGCCAGGCACGGCCTGGCAGTGAAAGCATGAAGCAGACCCAGCAGCTAAAGATACGTATGAAGCTAGGATTGCACATTACAGCCCTCATAAAAGTGCTAAGAACAGGGAGTACCAAAAATATGGTTCTTAATAATTTGACAAGTGGCAGAATTGTGACAAGACACAAAGAAAGGAGTCTTTCACATGTCAAAAGCACATCTTAGCAACTGGCAATGTTTTTTTTTTTAATCCCTTAATTTATGAATGTGCAGATTTTTATATTTTTTACACTGGTGTAAATTTAGCTCTTCCAGATTGCTCATTCAAATATATAAAAACAACCCCTCTACTCATAAGTACTACAGCCATTCAGGCTACCAGCCTCATCATTACTAGCAGTATTTATTTTTAAACAGTTTTAAAAAATAAACAGTAGCAATGTTTAAATCACAACTATTTTGTGTGTCATCTCATGCAGCAACTCAGTATTACGCAAATGGTAAACAACTTCGTGGGTTTCAAGTTGGAAGTATTAAGGACATCTATTAAATCACAAAACCGAGCACAAAATCTTAAGGTTGTATTTGCTTATGCAGTAAGCTGGGCCTCATGAAAAGCAACAGGCCCATGCAGTAATCCAGAAAAGTTGAATGCAAAAGAGAAACTTAATATTCCAACTTTGGATAAGATTGACACAGATCGAGACATTTTATGACAGCTGCTTCAAATAATCAGATATGAGCAGGCTGAATTGTGTTGAGTTCATACAGGAAGAAATATGCTAAAAATGTGGCAACATTTATCAGACACACCAGTGTAAACCAACAGCTCAACAAAAAGGCAACCTGCCTCTCCTTTAGTTGGAAAATTCGAGTACAAACAAACATGACTGTTTAGAGTTAACTCTATCAGCAAGTTCTATGAAAAATTATTTGGGCAAACCCCAATACTTTCCTGTTCGACATATTTATTGCATATATTATGGCGCCTACAAGATGTTGTAAAGCACACAGGCAGGATGCTCAACACAGCTAATGCAGACAACACTAAAGGCAATTCACACACCTGCACCCGATTATGTTACGGAAAGACGCGATCACAATCCATTGAGACATCTATGCTTCCCATGTCGCGTGCAAAACTACTCTCTGAACTGATTACCCGGCAGCGCCCAAAACACGGATGTCCTGGAGACTTGGTCATAACTTCGCGCAAGCCCTCACAACGTAGTCAAACACTACTGCGTAAATGGGCCTCAACAAGCGTGAACGTCATACTGAAGCTCACTTATTCTTCAACGTAACAGCCTTTTTGGGTAGAGATTTCAAAATGCAACACGATCAATGATGTTATACAGTATAAAGAAACTGTAAAATATGAAACTAGGCAACCTAGCAGATAGCTGCAATAAAAAACATTAAGCACAAAAATATTCTATTCATTATGTACCGGCAAAGAAAGCCGAGATTAACTAAATTCTACGAAAAATGTCCTCGGCATTTGTGGTGGAATAGATCCACGGAAGTTGATGTAACAGGCTTCTAAAAGAGAGAAGCCCCCTCACTTCTAACCTAAACCACATCTGTAAGTTCAAACTCATAGGAACTCCGTGACCCGAGCTCTGGAATAGCAATCGCAACTTCGTGGTCCCATAAATCTTTCGAGATCATCGAAGGCACCGACATTACTTATAACAATCTATCGAATCACAAGATGTCCCCTAGTCAAACCATCAGCAAGGAAAACCAAACTCATACTATATCCCCCAGGATGATGTTCTCATCCCACAAAACTCGCAAAAAAATAATAGTAGATAACTTGAATAAAGAACCATACAGCTTGACAATCAAAAACGCTTGTTGCAAGAGTAAGAAACATTCTCATACTATATATCCCCAAGATAAAACTTCTGTCCCACAAAACCTGCAAATAAAGAAAGCTCATTTCCATAAAGCGTGTACCTACAGTCAGTTGCAACTCAAGAACGAAGGGCGAGGATGAGACGGGCCGGAAAGGAGGAAACAGACGGAACACTAAAGAGAGAAGGAGGTTCCCCCTCTCTTCTTCAGCGTTCCGTCTGCTTCCTCCTCCCCGGCCCGTCTTACCCTTGCCCTTCGTTCTGGAGTTGCAACGGACTGTAGGGCCTTACAGCTCGACATCTAGAATGCTCGGCAAATAAACTTTAATTCCGACCGGTCCTGTACACCGTACGACAATTCGGAAAGAAAGCATCGTGGGAAAAATCACTGGTCGTGCATCGCCCTGTGCCTTCCCAGCCCGTTCTTCGTCCTGAACCCCAGCGAACACCGGTCGCACTTGTGCACGGCCTCCCTGCAGTGCGTCTTCACGTGGCTCTTGAGGCCCGTGGACTGCGTGAACGTGCGGGGACACTCCGGGCACTTAAACGGCCTCTCCCCCGTATGGATCCGGGTGTGCCTCACCAGGTCGTCGTTCTGCGCAAACGACTTGGGACAGTGCCCGCACGCAAACGGCCTCTCGCCCGTGTGGGAGCGGATGTGCACCTTGAGGTGCTGCTTCTGCGAGAACGCGATCGAGCACATGTGGCACTTGTGGGGCCGCTCCCCGGTGTGGATGAGCCGGTGCTTGGTCAGGCTGCTCTTCTGGGTGAAGTGCTTCAAGCAGACGTCGCACTCGAAGGGTTTCTCTCCCGTGTGAGTGCGCAGGTGGGCCTGGAGCGCCGACTTGGACACGAGCCGCGCAGAGCACTGGGGGCAGCCAAAGGGACGCTCGCCAGAGTGCGACTGCAAGTGGCGCCGCATGTTGGCCAGCTTGCGAGTCATGTAGGTGCAGATCTTGCACTGGAAAAGCTTCAGGAGAGGCTTCGGCTTGGCTCGAGCCATCTGCCGTTTTGATCCGGCGTCGGCTGCACCAGGGAAAGAAGGCAAAAATGCGTTTGTTAGAGGGTAAAGACGAAATCGGGGACGCCAGCTTAGACCCTTTTCGAAACCCCGTAAAAACACACTGCCAGTCGCCATTTCTTGGGCACGAAGTGTGCGATTGGATCCGAGTCCTCGCCGAACGCTGACAAAGCCCTCGTCCCAATACATGCGCAAAGTATGTGCCCAAACAATGGCCGACTTAGATAAAGAACACAGCAACTACCAGACTGAGCACATTTTTCAAGAAGGGTCTGTTGTGGCATAAACCAGTAAACACGTCCTCGAAAACCACGGTTGCTATACTTTGTTTCGACGTAGCTTAGCGAAGAGTAAAAGCTACGGCCCAGTGAGCCAATTAGAGCGGCGGAGCAAAGCGTACGACAGCTCTCCAAAGATGTGAAGTTGAATGCCTCGCTCAAACGCTCCGATGGGCTCACTGGAAACACGGCTTCGACAGCTTGCCAAGTTTCCCAAAAAACAGTGTTTAGAGGCACTAAAAAGTAAAGAGGTATTGTGCAAGGCTCACCCGGAACAAATATGCACGCAATTATAACGAACTAACAGTGCATACAAAATAACTTTTGTTTTGCATAAGACGGCACCCCATGAATTGCCCCGACCCATATAAGGAGGGTCTTCCAAGTCAAAGGAACCTTCCCTGTCTTGGCATTGGTGCAGTAAAGCAGTGCAAGAGCTAACAAACCTCGTAAACAATAATTCACATACCAGACATGTATGTAACGCACTACTGGTAACAAGTTACTTCTACCTAGTCACTTTTTCGGTAACGAGTAACATGTTCAGTTACTTTTTTACAAAAAAAAACAGCAACATAGTTATTGTTAAGGCCAAACCACGAGTAACGGTATTTTGTTACTTTTGAAGAGTAACATGTACAACGTTTGAGCAGCCTCGTTTTAATCTGAACTTTAGTACACGTCTAGTGCGACAAAGGCAGATGGGCAACCCAAAAAACAACTAAACAGAATGACAGTATAGCAACGTTTATCGCTGAGCATGTCAGTCAAACTCTACAGCTGGGAATGTCATTCACCTACAGAACACAATAAGGTTCGTTGGTTGAACCTTCTAGAATCGTGTACAGACTATATGTAAACCCATAGGTTGCCAACACGGGAATGCATATAGCTCATTGTCAACTAAGAAGAAACACAGAGAAAAGAGAAGGGAATCCCAGATTCACCAGCTCTTACTGAAGCACAACATTGCCATTCCTTCGAGTGCGTCAGCAGAACGACTCTTCAGCGTCGCCAGAGATGCAGGGGGGAAACATTACTGATGAAAACTTTGAGCAGCCGCTACTGCTTAAATGCAACGACTACTAAAAAGGAAACTGTATAAACCGTGAAAAAAAGAGCAGTTGCGTATTTGGTCGTCAAAGTAACGAGCAAAGTAACTTGCTACACTTACCACTTGTACAAAAATTCAGGCTCCTGACACAAAAAGGAAAACTTTTTTTCAGTTAAGTGCACTGACGGTGCACTCACGCAGCTCTCCTCGCCCTTTACTCTAATGCAGTAGGCCTCAAACAATTCTCTCTCAGTTTTGTTTTTTAGTTTTCTAACTATTTTTTGTTTTGTCAAGATTAGGCGTGCACGGACACCTATCACAGTGAATTACTAGATTACCTGATGGGGAACTTTTAACAGATAAGGCGCGCTCGCGTGCCCTGTCGTTGATGCACCTCCCCGTTTGCCCTATAAATGCTTTTCCGCAAGTCATAGGTATTTCGTAAACAACCGACGTTGCGCATTCAATGGACTGCGCAACGTCCTCGTTCCTCGTGTCCTAGTTTTTTAGGCGCTTCACAAGTTAAACATGTACCAACTAGCCCACCTATCCATTTTACTGTAATGCATTTGTTTTGAGAATTAGTAATGAGTAATGTATTCAGTTACTTCTTGAACGAGTAACGCTATTTAGTTACTTTTTTGGGGTAATGTGCACATGTCTGCCACATACCAAGAAGTGTTTAAAACATAGCTACGCATCAATAGATGGCTCGGATTTCCTACAATAGTGCTTACGCTGGAAGAACACTTTACTTAGGGGCAAAGATGGCTGGGTATATTTGGAAATTGAGAACCCCTGAGGATACTCTGAAGACCCCAGTTTCAGAACGCACGCTCCAAGAGGTCAGCCTCAGCCCGAGGTGTTTAAATGCTGGGTTCTCTTTTTCATATCAAGTACAGGTGCACATTTCACATAGTGGTTTCATTAAACACACTGCATAAATGCCGACTGCAGAGTCGAGATACACACTTCTCGAGAAAGTTAAAACAAAGTAGATTGAAACAATTTCAAAGTACTGGGAGCATTTCAAAGGCGTCAAGCTGTTCATGAGCACAGAAAATAAACAAATGAATGAATGAATGAAACGGTAATCACAAACAGTATGCATGAACATAATGTATTAATGGAGAAAATTCTGCAGCTCCACAAAAGATTCTCTCAATGTTTTCACACCAAGAACATGTAAACAGAACAGGAAAATTGTAAAGCAGTTTCTTTGTTTTTTTTTACATAGCTAAAATTAACAGTGGATAAAATTAAGGAACATAAAAATCAGAATTTCAGAGAGATGCTATAGCAACCTCACTGTATTGAACTCAGAGTCACCATATAGTACTCATATGGGACTGTGAACTGTTACTCAATGACTCAAGCACCGAGTTAGCACTTAAATGCATTTGCTGCAACAGGCTCGTCGGCCCACAAGGTCGTGCGCACCAATGACTGTTGGCATGCATTCGTCATATAGGGTCCATCAAAGTCGGTGAGCACACAACAAATGCAAAACGTCTCCTACTGAAAGACAAAATTATGACACGAGTCGAAATAAATCGACGGGCCCCTCACTCGAGGCACAAAGTAGTCTACATTAACACAGCTCTTTGGTTAACGAGCTTACCAGCTCCTACAAATATGGAAAGCCTACAAGCCGCCCGGCTAAATCTCGCACGCAAAGCCTAAAGAAAGGAACGCTGGTCCAGTAACCATGCACCAATGAACAGCTTAACAATGCTTGAATTGAAACAAAGCAGAAAGGAAGAAATGTTTGGTCAGGCACCACACATCAAAGATTAGCTCAGCAATGCTTGAACCCAGACAAAGCAGAAAGAAAGGTGTGTTTGGTCCGTAATCACGAGTCGGGATTAGCTCGGCAACGCTCGAACTGGGACACCACTTCATCTAGGGGGTAGGTGCCCGAGAAATCCCTGGAGGTGCTACTCCGACCAATCCTCGGGTTCCTAGGACCCAAGTTTTGAGAAACCACGAAATACCAGACATCCTCTTCTTTCCCCCTTTCAGCTCGGATGCCCAAACAAGCAGCCAAGTGGTCTCGGCGAATGAATCGGAATGCTCCATAACGATAATACCACACGTGGCACCATGAACAGACATTAGCAGCGGCACAAGTTTGTTCTCGTCGCCGACTACACACACAATTTTTCGCTTCGAAATTATGTTCGGTGCGTCACTTCCGACAAATGCCCGATATCCCCCCATGCATTCCGCCAACAGTGAGCCTAGGGCCTGGGAGCCCGGTGGCAAATGCGGCGGTGATACGAAAGGTTGCACAAACGAAAGAATGTCCGCCGGCAGTAGGCGCACTCAAAAGGTGCTTCGCCCATGTGGCAGCGCACGTGCGACACAAGGTTCCGAGATTGCACCTCTGTGTGGCATTGAGGACACCTGAATGTTTTCCCGGTCTCGCCACTTGCGTGAGTGTTGAGGTGCTTCAAGAGAGCCTCTCTGGACGCAAACTCCGTCGGACAGAGGCAACACCTGTGCGTCGTGGCCTCCGTGCGGGTGAACATGTGGCGCAGAAAGTCGACCTTGGCAGTGAAGTGGTTGCCTTGGAAGAACTGGCCGGAGGAGCCGTGGGTCTTTGTGTGAATGCTCATCTCGGTGATTGTGCGGGCGGTAAAGCTGCAGGAGGTGCATCGGATTGGCTTGGCTTTGGACCGGGGCCTGAACTTGATCTTGGCTATAGAAAAGGAACAGTTTTTTTTTACCACGATAACGTTGTGTCGCAAAAAATTCGGCGTTAGCGGGACCAAAAAATTCTATAATGAGACGTGCACAGCCACGTGTGACGTCACACGTGGCTGTGACGTCATGATCTTATCAAACCGCTAAATTTGGCAGAAAACTTTTCCGCTAAATTTAGAAGAAAATTTTCGAGCCAAATTTAGCGGAAAATTTTCCCACAAAATTTTGCGGCAAAATTCAAATGGAAACATGTGACATCATGTGACATTCAACCTATCGACTAGACCACGCACAAGTGCTCGCGGTTTGTGAACAAGCGAGGGTTTAATGAGAAGCTTTTAAGCTTTTAAAGGCAAAGCTTAAAGGGGTACTCCAGCGACTTTTTGATCTACCTCAACTAACTATATTTTCTGACTCCCCGGCCTTTACCCTTTCCGGTATGCTATTTAGTATCGCGAAATTCATAATAGTTATTGCAAAATCGGCGAAAGAAAATGATGCAAAAATGAACCTTCAAATACAGTAAAACCTCGTTATAAAGAAGTTGAAGGAGCGGTCGTAATTACTTTGTTATAACCATTACTTTGTTATAGCCAATATTCATTTCTTCCAACTATTCAAGCAAGGGGAATTATGATTGCTTTGTTATATCCATTTGTTTGTTATATCCCATTTTGTTATAACGAGGTTTTACAGTATACCCGCACTTTTCAGTGCCGCGACGTCAGTGGCGGGCAGGCTTGCCAGTCGAGCGAGCAGTCTAAAAAATAGAATATGCCAATCATTTGTTCCATGCTGGAGCGAGCTTCCAAAGCATTCATTTGACACCACAAAACTGCTTCGAATCAGTTGGGAACAAATTCTACAGTCCAAAGAGTGAACCCCTGCACTTCCACTTACGTCACGTTTTCGCTGTTGCCAGTAGAGACTTTCAGTTTGAAAAACACGGTGAGGACCAAAATCGTAAATTCAATAACTTTGTGAAAAAAAAAAATATTTTAACCTAATATTTGGGATACTATTTTAGCGATGTTGTTTGGCGAGTTTAGCAAAATTTCAAGCAAATCGGGGACCATGAAGAAATCGCCGGAGTACCCCTTTAAGCGTTCCCCAAAGTTTTTTTTTTTTTTTTTTTTTCTTTTTAGTTGTAGAGTTTTTTTTTCTTCGCAAAATGGGTATCCAGTTTGCAGTAGTGACATTCAGTTAAGTGCCATTTAATTATAAAACTGTTCAAGGTACATCATGCTCAAATGTGCCAAAAGGGGAACTCCGGCAGTTTTTTGAGCTACCCAAACTTAACACATTTTCGGAATACCCAGGCTTTTTCCTTCCCGGCACGTAATTTATTCCCTCTGAATTCAGAATAGGCATTAAGAAAATGACAAA